AAGAGGCAGCAATGAACAGCCCCTAAGGCTGTGACACTGGCCCTGAGGCCCTTCCTAGAAGGCAGATCATCACAAACCCCACCGAGGCTCTGAAAATCTCCTAGCATGAAATACAACTGTGTTCCTCGTGTCCCCCAGTGCCTGGGGACTGGCCACCTTTCTGGGCATGAGAAATGATTGCCATTCTGACTGCCCAGCTCCTGCAACACCCATGTTATGTCGGGGACATGGCTTTCTTGCTGCCATGTCCCCTGGCCAGCGCTAGCCATATGATGTCTTTGTAAGAATCACAAAAAGGTGTCTCTTCTCTGCACGGACTCAGCCCCCTCACCCCACCCAGGAAGCCCACCTGTGGCGGAGCCTGAGTCTGCACCTCCCACTGTAGCAGCCAGAGGGTGGGACGTGCCAGGCTCCTGGGCAGCCAGGGTACCCACCGGTCATGCACCCGCACCAGACAAAGAAGCAGGTGCCCTGGCCAGCCGATTGCAGTCGGTGTGAAGACGCCTTTTATAAGGCATTTCAGGCAACAAATATTTATTAAGCAGCTGCTAGGAGCCGGGCACTGTGCTAGCTGTAGGAGTACGCTGGTGAGCAAAGCAGACATGATCCCTGCCCTCCTGGAGTTTACAGTTTAGTGGAGGAGACGCAAAAGCTCACCGTTTTAAATGTCTGATTACAAAATGGAAAGAAAATGTGCCGAGAAAGAAAAGAACACAGCTCTAGGAGAGCTGAGAGTCAGGAAGGGCTTCCTTGAAGAAGTGACAGTGAAGCTGAGGAATGATCTAGAGGAAGGGGAGCGAAGTGGAGGAATGGTCTACATTGAGGGAAGAGCAAGTGCAAAGGCCCTGTGGCATGGGGGCTAACAGAGGGTGTGTGTGGCATGAATTCAGGCAGCAAGGGATGGATCATGGGGCCTCAGGACTGAGGTGATGAATCTGGATTCTGTTCTTGCAGCAGGGATTCCCTCTGAGAGTTGTGAGCAAGGGTGTGACACCATTAGGTGTATAATCTGGTCCCTCTGGATGCTGGGAGGAGAATGCGGGTGGGGATCAGGGACGCTGGTACTGGGAGACCAGCAAAGGGGCAGCTGCTGACACCCCAGCAAGAGACCAGGGTGGCCGGACTGGGGACTGCAGGGACGATGGAGTGAAACGGGTGGTTCAGAGATACAGAGGAATAAAGTGAACCCAGAGGGTGAGAGGGAGGGAGGGATGCTGCCCGGTTGCCTGGTTTCCACCTGCTGTCATCCTGATTCCTTCGATTTCTGGCCTGATGAGTCATTTGTGAGTCATCGCCCCCAGAACCATTGCTGTTTTTTTCCTTTTTAACAATGAACTTCTTTTTAACCACTGAGCCATTATGTTATGGGCCAATGGATTTGGAGGCACTTCCCCAAATACAGCCCTGGAGAAAATTTAAAACATCATTTAATGAAAAATTCTCCACAATGTAGTTCTCACTATGCGCCCTGCTCAAGGCTGTCACAAGATGACCCTTGCCGGGCTGGCGTCTGGCTCATGGCACGGCTCCCCGGGGTCCAGCGTGACGGTGCCTGTGTTGGTGATGACCGGTCCCGCCAGCTACCCCTTCTCCGTGTGGACCCTGTGGTGCCCAGGCACGCCTGTCAGCACAGCCCTGGGGCAGCACACCCACAGCTGGGCAGGCTCACAGGGTGGCCTCCCGCTGACCAGGGTTGGCTTCCATCTTTGTAAAATATTAACAATTTGTGGACCTTCCTGGTGGCGCAGTGGTTAAGAATCCACCTGCCAGCGCAGGGACACGGGTTCAAGCCCTGGTCTGGGATGATCCCATGTGCCGCGGAACAACAAACAAATAAAATAAATTAATTAAAAAACAAACAATTTGTTAGTGTATTTGTGGATTCACCGACCTAAGATGACGTTCCCAGAACCCCCTTTACTGGGGATCTGCTCTAAAGCTGGGGTGATAGAACCACCTTCAGAACATAAAGTGCCCCATTTTGCATTCATACCCATCCCCACATCAGAAACCCAAGCACAGGGACTTCCTTGGTGGCACAGTGGTTAAGAATTTGCCTGCCAACACCAGCGACATAGGTTCGAGCCCTGGTCCAGGAAGATCCCATATGCCGCAGAGCGACTAAGCCCATGCGCCACAACTACTGAGCCCACGCACCTAAAGCCCGTGCTCTGCAGCAAGAGAAGACACCGCAATGAGAAGCCCGCGCACCGCAACGAAGAGTAGCCCCCGCTCGTCGCAACTAGAGAAAGCCTAGGCACAGCAACGAAGACCCAATGCAGCCAAAAATAAATAAATAATAAATTTATTTAAAAAAACAAACAAACAAACTCTCCTTTTGGCTTATCCCCCAAGTCTAAGAAGTGCCTGATTCCTCCAGCCACCTCCTGAATATTTCTAGAATCCAACTCTTCCCCTCCAACCTGCTTCATCTGCCCCAGCTGGGTCAGGGCTGATTCCATCTGCCTGGAGGTAACCCTCCCTCTCACTGGCCTCCTGGCCCCCAGTCCCTGCTGCCACGGTCCCGGGCACCATCTGTGCCACCGCAGGGCAAGACCATTTACACCTGATCTCCCTGAGTCGCACCCTCTCTTCCTCTCTCCTTCTTTCCTCTGACTTGACTGACTTGCATTTGCCTCCTGAGACTCATCTCAGCCCTAGGAAGTCCGCTTGACCATCAGGTGGGGTCAGTTGCCTCCCCTGGGCTCCCCTGCCCAGTCTTCACTCACCATGTTGCAATGTCTGTTCAGAGCCTGTCTCCACGGTTAAGCCCCAGTGGCCCCGATGGGGTGACAGCAGCTCCTCAGAGGGTTCGAAGATTCTGTTAAGAAGTGAGGGGCAGCCCCAGGCATGCACAGGATGTCGCAGCTCCTGGGACCTGCACAGATTCTGGCACTAAGAACAAGCCACAAAAGGACCCTGGGACAGAAAGAGCCTGGGCAATTCCTGCTCCTGGCTGATCCTCCAGCTTTGGGCAGGTTTGTTCAATTTTTTACTCAGCAAACACCAGTGGACCCCTCTTCCTCCTCTCCATATCCCTCCTGGGCAGGCCCCAAGCTGGGCATCCTGGGCCTCAAGGGCCTCCCTGTCTGGTGTTGGAGCCAGGCCTGGGCCGGACAGTGTGAGACTGGCTCCTCTGGGGGTAGCTGGTGCTGGGGAGGGCACTTTTAACAGTCCTCCAATTCCAAGAATCCAAGAGGGTCCTGGGCTCTACAGTAGCAGAATTTCAAAAGTGTCTGCCTGAAGGGGCTGGTTCCCATGGCCAGGTGTCACCCAGGACACCAGGGCCTGAGCTCCTGACTGCATCTGAATCTGCTTCTGTCTGCACCTAGAGCAGGTCTTGTGGCTGGTGGGGTTGCAGGCAGGGTGGGGGAGAGACCACAAGGGACCAGGGGTGCATGGGTTTTCAAAGTAGACCCCCCTAAAGTGTTTGCCTGGGAGGGAGCACTGCTAAACCCACCTGCGTTGGTGGGAGGCTTCCTGGCCCTGCTCCCCACTGTGGGTGGGTTTTCCTGGGCCCATCAGGAGATGGGGCACCCTCAATGTATAATTAGGGCTGGCAATCAAGGGCATAGGCTCAAGGCAGCCTCGGGTCTGGTGTCGGGGCCAGGCTGGGCCCTGCGTGTAAATTCTCCTCTTCCAGAACCAGCACAGGCACTGCTAGGATGGAGGAGCCAGACTGCATTTATTCATCTCCAAAAAGCAGGGCCCCCCCGCTGGCCACCGCTGGGTACCCTCCTCGGGGGACCTGCCTGCTGGGAGCCGCGGTCAGACTAGAAGGGCCGGGATTGGGTCCAGGGACACGGGGTGCGGCGACAGTGGACAGTGCGCGGCGGGGAGGGTACTGAGCCTCAGTTTTTCCGTCCAGAAAACGGTGGCAGCTGTGCGGATTGGACGATACATCGTAGATCCTCAAGCGAGAGCGTGACTGCTCATCCCTCTGGCTTGGCCGAGGTGGGACCTGGAGCCCTGACCTCCAGAGACCCCCCTGAGTGGCGGTACCTCTACGACATCGGGTCACGCAGCGGGACGCGCAGCAGTTCATAGGAGTGCGCACGCGCGGGACGCTGCGGCTGCGGTGAACTGGCGCCCCCCTTGTGGCCATAGTGGGAACCACCGGCCTTGCGGGCGGGCGGATGGACGCTGCTGAGTTAAGTGTATCCTCCTGGGTGATGGGGGCTCGCGGACCCCAGACTCCACTGGGGTGATCGTCTGAGGAGTGTGAGCCCAAGGGTATGTGACAATGTGAGGGAGTGATAGCCTCCCAATAGTAACAGGTCACATCAGGACACGTGGTCATCTGAGGCTCAGAGCAGTGAGTGAGCTCCCAAGAACAGCACCGGGCTCTGTGTGAGGGCCCACGTCTGACACTGTGCAGGGCATGCAGCAGGAGCTCAATAAATGTTTGTGGCGTGAGAGTGAGTGGATAAGTGTGTGAGCCATTGGCATGTGCAAGGGGGTTAGGAGTGGTGGCCGGAAAGTCATAACGTGTGTCTACACTGTCAGACCTTACAGCTGGCGAGTGCCACCCAGAAAGGGCCCCCGTCCAGGGACAATGGAAGAACCTCTAAAGGCACCACTGCAGCCCCAGCCGCTGGTGGATGGGACAGAGGGACAGAGGGAGGCCTCATATACCCCAGGATGGGCCCAGCCCAGCCCCCTGCACAGGGTAAACAAGGCCCCCTGCAGGCCTCCTCCTGGGGCCTGGAAGCTTCCTGTCAGGGCGGTCTCTTCACGTCCGTCACCTTCCAGCCTCGCTCGAGGCAGGTGGAACAGAGGCAGATGGCGGTGCAGGCTGGATGGACCACAGCCCGGATGCCCAGCCTGACCACAGCCCTCCCCTGAGTGCAACTTCACTGCCTGGAGGGGGGGAACTGGGAAAGCCCAAGGCAGGGCTGCTAGTGGTGGGATGGATTTCAGGCAGGGCGGGGAGGTGCGATGGGGGAGGGGCACGTGGGTGCAGGTCCCCCACGGCCCCAGCCCCAGCCGTATGGGCCAAGCTAGGGGCTGAGGCTGGGGAGGGGCTCCAGGCCAGGCTCACAGCCCACGGGCAGCGTGGCAGCCTCGCTGGGTGGGATGTGGTGGGTCATGTAGCGCGTCCCCACGAAGGAGCCGGTTCGCAGCTGCTCTGGGGCCTCCTCCAGCCACCACAGGCTGGAGCTGGATGGGGAGAGGAAGAGGTGCAGCTGTCATCCTTTTGGGTGGAGCGGGCTGCCGAGCTCCCCACCCACAGAGCCCTCCCCCTGCGGCCTCTGATCTCCCTTGCCTCCCTTGTAGAACCAGCCGGAGGTGTGTCTCCTCCAGGTGGCCACCCTGACTACCTGGGTGTCAGTTCGCTGAAACGATAGAGGGCTCACTGGAGGGAAAACAAGGTCAGGGAGGAGAAGGGCCCGGTCAGAATGAGGTGGCCGCTTCTCTGAACCTGTCATCCGAGGAGCTGCTGGACCACCTCCCTGACCTCCCAGGCGAGAGATATTCGTGGGGGGGG